AAGGAGGGGAAGCCGCAGGCCCAGCTGGCCCTTGGGGCCCAGCACTTCCCCCGCCTCTGCAGCACCCGCTTCTGGGAGGGGCTGCTCCTCTGCCTGCTTGCCGAACGGAGGATGAAAGGCTGAGGGAGGAAAAAGCGGACTCCCCTGCACCGTCGCCGTGTGGCTGGGGCTGGGCGCCAGGGACGTCTCCGCAGGGGATGAACCTGTACACAGAGGTGCATAACATTGACCTCTGAAGTCCCCATTGCTAAACTTCTAGAAAGCCGACTTGCAGGAAAATAAAAGGAGCCTCACTGCCCAATTCATGCTGTCATCTATTCTCACTCTGACCCGGGCGACTGTCACAACCTCCCCACTGATCTCATCTCCCCTCTGGTCCATCCATGCAGCAGACCTGACCACATCGGCCCTGCTGTCACCCTTCAGGATCAAGTGTCCACAGGTTCAGCGAGGTCTTGTAGGTCTGGTCCTCACCTTCTGGGGAATAATGGGATTTTGGATTCTTTGAATGAGAAGGTGGAGCTGAGGGTAGAGCAAGCAGTAAGGCCTTGAATGCCAAACAAGTGTCCTAAAAGCTAGAGCTAATTACTTGAGGTTTTAAAGCAGTGTCTGGGTGGCTCATCGTGTCAGTATTTCCGGAGTCAGAAAAGGATGAAGAGCATTTGAAAGTAGGGGCTGAGGCAAGTGCAGCAGTTTCCTGTGTGCTTGAGCTCTGTGTCAGGCTCTTGGATGGGCGAGGGACCTTTGGGGACCAGTCAGGGCTCAGATGGGGGGTAGGGGGCAAGGTGTGTTGGGGTTAGCTGATGAGGGGGTTCCTGACACGGGAGCAGGTTCCGGGATGCGTGCACCCTTCTGTGCTGCAGGAAGGGGCAGGAGGCTTGCCGCCTTGCTGGAGGACTCAAACTGGTAGAGCTGAGACCAGCTACTGGTAGCCTAGGTCCTGGGCCTGCTGAGGTCTAGCCAGTCCCCAGGCCTTTCAGCCTGAGGCGCCAGGCATACGTAGCATCTTAGAGAAGGGCCTTGGTCCTGGGGGGCAGGGGCAGCAAGCTCAGGAGGTATGTTTTCCCCTTCTGGGCGAGAGAATTGCTTATAGTTGAAAGGCGGGGAGTGCCCGCTTAGCCTCCCCTCCCTCCCGAAGAGCTGCAGGTCGAGGTCACGTGTACTCACATATGCACGGAGCCTGACTTTGACATCCAGGCACACACAGGCCTGGACCCTTTGCGGTAGTGCCTACAGGTCTGCCGCCCTGGGCAGAAGCCCGGAGCCTACCTGCCTCACCTCTGTCCCCATGCAGACCCCAGGGATTTCCCTCCCAAATCAACTGAAGACAGTTGTATAATCTGGCTTGTCACCTGCCACCTGCATCCTGCCTTCCCAGTTTCCTGGAGAAAAGGTGTTGCCCTGTGGCTTTGAGTTGGTAGAGTAGTGGAGGGAAACTCCAGTACCCCTGGAGAAGGGAGGTCCCCAGACTTAAGGCCTTGCTCTGAAGGGGCAGGAGGAAGGCTGTCCCCCCCACCCCACCCCCAGGCCTAGGACAGGGCAGGTGCAAGCTGCAAGGGAAAGGGGACAGAAGAGTCTCTTCCGGCAGCAGGAAGTGGTAACCACCTATGGGGAAACGAGGCTTGTTCCTCCGATAGGGTGGAGCAGAAGGGGAACCTTGGCTTAACACTGCTGTCCCCTCACAAGGGAGTCTGGAGGGAACAACTGCAAAGGTTCTGTTCTCAGCGCTGACCTTCCTTGCCCCCCGCCCACCCCCAGGGAACTTCCCACCCGGTTCTCCAGGCTCCTTGCACTTATGGCTCAGGGCCGTGACTTCGGAAGGGTGGGCCCCATCCGATGTCTTAGGGATCTGGGGGAAGCAGGTGACCAAGGGGAGTCCAGGGTCTGGAACAGCTACGGTGTCACCGCCCACTGTCATCGAGGGCCAATGACCATGCTGTGAAGGGTGCTTCCTGGCAGTGGTGGCCAGACAGCATTCTGGAGGTGGGGGGCCGGCAGCCAGAGGGTGCCAGCTTGTTGGGCATTTTGGGGGCTCTCACAATGGGCCCTGGCTGCTTGGCAGCAGAGCTTTGGGCATAAGGCAGCCCAGGTGTCGCCCAGCGCCCTGCGGGAAGGGAGGCAAGGCCCGGTGCAGTGGGACCCCTACAGGAGCCC